AGGATCCTGCATTTGTATTGTTAACTGTTCATAAGACATGGCTACATCTGACTGTCCATGTTCAGTGTAACTTCATTAGTAAGGGGTATCAATCCATCTTGGTGGTGCAGTATATCAAGCTAACTTTCACATATGTCATGACAAGTGTTTGAATACAGACTTCGAAATTTTATTTTGTCAGTTAATTACTACTGTGTGTTGTAAGAAATGGATGCTTTCTTCTCTCACAAAAAGATGTGCCTACTTCCTATTGCAATTTTTGGCAATACTGAATGGAAAAATGCTTGTTATAATTGTATGTATGACTTTTTAACTTTCAAAAGATGAAGATATGCTACTAAATATAAAATACTCAACCTTGTTTCAAAATTGTGTGCATGCTACTTGTCTTGTCTGTATATAAACTTCATATGCTAACCTAAAGCGGATTACTAAATTTATTTCAAATCCAGAAATATAGCTAAAATATAGACGGAGGTAGTAGAAAAGCAGGAAGGTGGGTGACCCATAAATCCCATTGTACACTTTTTGGTAGTACATGTAGATTTCAAGTGTACCTTTTAAATGCTAAACTTGTTTTTATAAATGCCACTAACTTCAGAAGCTCAGCAGTTGGCTGACACTACCATAACTTTACATTGCTGTAAAACTTGGCTTGAGACCAAATGATTTTAGTCCTGATTATTCAGTGCTAATGATTAATCACTGCCTCTAACTATTCCTGTGCCGTGAGTAGGGTGATCAATTTTTATTAAATAGGCCCAGTTTATAAGTGTTGGCTGTAAAAATGTGAAAGCAAAAACTTAAGATTGGAAGGGACTTTCTGGATCCAACAGTACAGTTTTTAGTATTGCAGACAGTCATGTGTCCCCCTTTTTGGGGGGGTCTAAGTTGTTCAAGCCCCACTTTTCTGATTGCAAGGCAATTGCAGAACCTTGCTGCTCTATTGCTTAGAAGTGGTCTTCTGGTTTCCAGCCTAAATTTTATTGTAGTTTATAGCCAGTTTTTGCCTATTGGTTGTCCTAAGACTGTTTAGCTTAAGTAGCTCTTCTTGCTTCTTGAAGTTAACTCTAGATATAAACTAATTCATGCAGAGTGCTGTACTTCTGTGGCTTGGTTCCTTCTGGTACTTAAAGTAGCTCAGTGTAGATGCAACCTTAATTTCCATATGCGATGAACATTGACAGACTGAGACAGCAACATTTTCTTTAACGTCAAGAAAATTGTAACAAAGCTGAGGACCTGTTCTCTGCCTTGTCATCCCTCTCCATTACCTACTGGAAGTGGTTCATTAAGGTTGCAGCCCTAACTTAGATATTAAGGACTTGTACTGTGCTGGGTTTGAATTGCAGTATTCTACCACGCATGGCACTCCAGTTGTTCTAGGTTAATTTAAGGCCAAAGGAATAATTTGTGATAGTCTCAACATAGTGGCCAGCCTGTGAAGAAAATCTGCACATGGTGTGGTTAGCAACTTTAAAACTATGTTGCCCAGTTACTGTTTTTCAGATAAATTGGTACCCGACTTCTGTAGTGGGGGATGATTTGATGGGTTTAGTACTGCTTTGGGTACATTACAGTATGGAGAGAGTGGATGAAGATGGGTACAGGTAGTGGTACTGTTGCTGAGAGCTTTCCACCACCCCTCCCCATACAGTTGGATAATAAACCTTTAACACTGTCTTGTTGCTTACATAATTGGCTAATGGCTTAGAGTGGGTTAATAGACTTGTAGAGAGCTGCTGTAGAGTGGTGGCAGAGGTATTTTTATGGCATCACGGATTAGGGTCGGAATTATGCTATACTACAGCAAGATACAAATTGAGCTACAGTTTGGTAAAAAGAACAGTGAAGGTGAGAGATGGAGATTATTAATGTTCCTGATATTTTTCATATGCTCTAGAGTGGGATAGTTCTTCAAGTTTGAGGTCCTCTAACAGACCCCTTGTCCTTACTGCGAAATCTGATTCCTGAAACAACTGTACTTTACATTTACTTAATTACCTATCTGCTTGTAAATTATTCTTTCCTTGGTTTCAGAACGTTAGGATGCTGCTCTAAATTTTCCATGTTGCTTTGAAGTTTAGTTCACTCCTATGCATTTACTGATGTTCTGATATTACTTCAAGTTCACTGTGTTACTTTCAAATGTTCATTTGAATTTATGCAATGGAAATACGAGCCAATTATGAGACTCCCCAGCAATAATAATGCTTGGTGCTCAGAAAAGTGTCCTGTGTAGTTGGTTTCTAGAAACACCAGAAAAGAATTCTGGAATGGATTACAGCCAGGCTGTGGCAGGAGTGATTTATGGACAACCTGGGAGTACTCTGCCAGTGGCTAATGAGCAACAGCCCATAATCTGAGTGAGAATCATTAGACTTTGTAGTGTGGAGAGCTACTTTTTGATGAGCCTGTTTGCACGATATTGCTCCATCCAGCAGTACTAGGTAGTAAATGAGTAAGTTTTCGTGAGGCCTGTGTAATGAATTCCAATTGCACTTTGTAATTACATACATTGCAAAGGGGACAAATTAGAAAAGTGTCTTAGTTATCTAATCAAGAATAAGATCAACTGTATAACTTTTTTCATAAAAAGTCTTGAGGTTGAAGGTCTTGCCTTCAAACTATACTAACGGCTTGTCAGGAGAAGAATTTTTCAAATATTACTGAGCATGTAAATGTAGAGAATGCTATTATTTTTTTTTACTTAAAAAAAAATCTGTATTGAAATTAATTTTGCCATGTATTTGTATTTCCTAGAACAGCTCTTTTAGTTAATGTTGGGAAATGTGGTTCTTGAGGTGGAAGCTGTACTGTTTGCTCTTGAATGATAAACATTGGGGTGAATTAAAAAGCTGCAAACTGATGTACTATATCATGCTGTATAATCTTAAAGCACTTTCCAAACCCTCAGAAATGTCTTACTTTCAAGAACTGCAGCATCAAGCCCAGAGGAAACAAAGTCCACATCCTCTAGCAGAGGCATTGCATGCTGATGACTGATTGACTGGTGGTTTCATAGATTTCGTAGACATTTCAGTTTTTCTAATGCATCTCTTCTGGTTCTTTTATTTCCTGGTTTAGTAATAGCTAGTTCACTTACATTTGGCTCTTATTCTAAATCAGATTAAACTACTTTCCATTACTAAAAGGACTCTTCTTTCTCTTACCATGTTCTTGGGCCCTAAATACAGGTGCATTACATTATAGGCCCTTTTGACTAGAGTCCTTATACCATGTTACACAGTGCACAGTAGACTTCATTGAATTTTTTGTCTTTACACTGGTGATAAATAATTTTATTGCAGCGCAAGTAAATGTTCACCTTGTAGCCCAGTGATCTCTAGAACTGCCTTGATTTTTATTTATTTAACAGGAGTCCCCTGTTCTAACTGCTGCAGTGCTTCTGCCCATTATTTGGTGGTTCCAAGGCTATTTTGGGTGAGTCTTTGAAAGCAAACCCTAATGCACTACTTCTTAACTCTGACTTTTTGATTAAGTGTGTTGGAGAAGCATCCCCATCAGCATTGCTTAAGGATTTAAACACACTGTTACTGTGTGTGCAGTAACATGGACTGGATCCAGTCCCTACAGCTGAGTGCTGCCTCATCAGTGTTGTCAGATCTTAAATATGAAGTTATTGTATTGGAAGTTCAAAATTATATTTTATGAAAAAACTATCATACACTGAAAAAATATGCAGATAAGTCTTATTTATATTGATCACTAAGTTGTCAGTGCGTGAATGAGAGCTGGGTCAAAGCTGAAGCATTTCTTTATTTTGAGGCAAGTAGTTGTAAGAGTCCTGACAGCAAACCTCCAAATCAGTTAGGACTCTCTGAGAGTGACTTGAGTTTTGCATATGCTGCATCAATGGGCTGCTTCAAAAATTATGGTACATTTTGGAATTGGAGCTTGTGATAGAGGTGATATCCTTTATTAGACAACTAGATTTTTGCAAAAGATTTGATTTAATTGCAGGCTTTTGGGCACAAGCACCCTTCAGGCATAGCAGAAAAGATTGTAAAAGTTCTCCTGGGTAGAAAAGAACTTTTACAATCATTTCTGCTATGCCTGAAGGGTGCTTGTGCCCAAGAGCTTGCAATTAAAGATTATTATTTATTTTTATTTTATTTTTTTGCAAAAATCTAGTTGGTCTAATAAAAGATATTGCCTCTACCATGCATTCTGATTCTTTCTGCCTCTGGTTACCACCAGGATACTTGGTACATCTTGATATGCAAAACTCTAGACCTCTTGGTTCAGAGAGATCTCTTACTAGATCAGCTACGCCATTCCCCCAGTCTTTTCCTGCAAGCTTTCTCGCTCACATGCCCTTTATCAGGCTTAGGGAAAATTAAAGATGGTAAGAAGTTCCTATACAGAGGTAGGAAATAAACTTAATTTTTGCACAGAGGAAGCCAAAAGTGGAAGTCCGCTCCATTGTGTCCTCTAGAGTAGAGTGTCTTTGCTAGTCGCTCGTTGATGGGCAGAGAAGGCAGGATTCCTTCCCTGGTGGTGTCAGGTGAAGAAATCTTTGTTGTTCGCCAATGAAGTTTAAAATCCAAACTGGGCTAAAATTCGGTATCTTCCATGCTTCGGGGACGTCTTTGGTAGCTGTGTTGGTCCGAGACTGAAAGAAATGCAAGGCTCTAGAAGTCTCGGTTCAGTTTTGTGTTTCTCTTGGTCTCAGGCCAAGACGGCTCCTACCTACATCCCTGGTGCGTCTTGAACGCTTCCCCTGTTACTGACCGTACAAGGGTTGATAACTAGCGCACCCCCGGCAACACCTCATGCGACCGCGGCGGGAGGAAAAGGGCAAGGGGGGCGGGGGCCCTGGGCTAGCTCCGACCAGGCCGGGCCGGGCCGGGCCGGAGGGGCACTGCGGGCCCAGAGGACTACAACTTCCAGGAGCCCCTGCGGCGCCATGGCGAGAGCCGCGCGGCGTGCTGGGAGCTGAAGGCCGGGGTGCCCTTTCCCTCTGCTCCTCATCCGGCGGGAGGAGCTACTTCCGCTTCGTCTCGGATGAGGCTGCTTCCGCTTCTGGGTTCAAAGGTCGCATCTCCGGAGGTGGCGGAAGAAAAACAGGCGGTGAAGTGGATCAGGTAAAGGCCTCTGCGGGCGAGCGCTGCTCTGGGCCCGGCTCTTCCCTGCGGCTGGAGCAGGCCGCACAGTTCCCGCTCCCCCGGGCCCTCTCGCCCCAGCAACCTCCGCATCGGGCCCCACCCGGCTGGCGCACCCCCGGGCCGGAGGGGTCGGGCAGCTGCTTTCGAGGCAGGGAGCAGTGCTTGGAGTCGGGCCGCGCACCCATAGGGGCTCCAGGAAGCCTCCACTATGGCATGTCTGCCGTTCGCTGGGCACTTCCCACCGGCTTGGAGGTGGTCCTCGGCCCTTTAATCCGTGTCTGTTGAGCCGCTCTTCTGAACCGTTCGTTTGCTTCAGACAACTGTCTCTGCCTCCTGCCCTTCCCACGGTCAGGCTGCCCCCAGTATCGTATAGTTCATCCGTCGTAGTTGGTAGCAGCTGGTCAGGCGATGCTGCCTGAATCCAGATGAAAGCGTTACAGAGTGTTTCTCTGCATCTTTTGAGACCAAAATATGTCATTGGTTTAAAAATGTCCCCCTTCAGTCTTCCAGCATGGCTTCCTTCGGGTGGAAAAGGAAGATCGGTGAGAAGGTTTCAAAGGCCACTTCCCAGCAGTTTGAAGCTGAAGCTGCTGATGAGGAGGAGGATCTAGCTGACAAGGAAGATGGTAACGGTGTCCATAAAGCTAAGAAGAGGAAGGACAGTCTCATGGGGGACTGCGTGGAGAAAAGCAAGCAGCTCAAGGATGAAGGTGCAGTTTTGGCTGAGAATAGGAGGTACTGAAGCTATTTTAATCTCCATTGGTGTAAGTTAATAAATGAATTAGTAAAGGAATATTTTGCTGTTTTTCTTTTTTTAATTAGTAGGCAGTATCCAGTGGAGGCTTCTACATTCACATCTGTTTAAAAATAAATCCTATTAAGGCTGCCTTTGTAATACTGAACAGCACTTTGTCAGTTTTCACCATTTGATGGCTTTTTGTTGGCCATTACAAAATAAATTGGTTCCTATTCCTTTTCATCTTAAGCATACATTCAGTCCACAAAACCCACCACTACACCATGTTATTAATAGGTGTCTGGTAGTTCCAGCAGATGGGAAAATAACTGATTTATTAATTGCTGAAACACCTTAGCTCTAGAGCTGAGGTCACCAGTGATTTCTGTCTCTGTGCCAGAGTAACCCAGGCCAAGTTGGAGGTGTGCCAAAGGTAGGACCTAGCTGCTGCTGCTTCTCTGCCACCCAGCCATGGTGCACTTTGTAGGCAGAACACCTGGCTGCCTAGCTGTGGGATGCGATGTGGCACAGTACGGCACCGATAAAAGTTCTTCCACCACCAAATGCTACTGCTTTGCTCTGCAGGCTAGATCTGGCCTGCTGGCCATAAATAGCCAGCTGCTGCTCTAGAATAGTCAGTCTGGAGTTTTTGGTAACTTTGGAAGGATAGTGTAAAGGTGCTTCTGTTGTTGCTATTTTGCTGCATTCAGACAAACAACTTTTAGAAGCAGACTATATTTTGGTTATTAGTGAAATAACTTAATAGAATAATATGTAACTAGTTCTTGTTTGCCATCCACAAAAAAAGAACGATTCCCAGAACAATCATCAGTCCCTTTAAAGTAAGAAACTTGTTCTTAAATCAATGGAGAAATATAAATTTTAAGTTGTGAAAATCTCCTAGCTTGCTCTTCCTACCTCTGCCCCTGTAGTCGGGGCCTTGGGGGCCTCCACATGCCACCTTCTCATCCTTTTTACCATTATAATAGAAACACTTATTCTATCTACTTCCTTAGTGTAATAGCTTCAAAAGAGGCCGCTATAAACTGTAGGCTAGTTATTCTCAAGCAGGGTGTCACAATATCTTTCTAGGTTGCGAGGAGATAAGTGTAAGCTGAGACTTGGCTCTGCCTGACTGATCCCACACTTGCACTGCCCAGCCCCTCCACGAGGAGGTAATCACTGTAATATATAAATTAGGATTTGCAACTTTGGTGTCGCTCAATTTACAGAAGTTATGGAGAGAGTATCTTAAATTCCAGCGAGGCTTAGGTTTTGGGAATTTATTAAAAGGGCTATCGATCACAACATGTAAAACCCAAAGGTTTAAAAATGTCATTGTGTTGCTCATGGGGTAAAATCCTTTGCGTATTAGTGAAACAGGTTTCTGAAGAAAAGTTATATTTCAGCGCAGCATCTTTAGAATGATAGTATGCTTTAATGCATGTGCTGTGCAGGGTGGATGTAATTTACTTTGCTTCATGAGTTTTAAGTGCTGTTCTAGCTTTCCCACAGTTTTTTTGCGGTGACTTTAATTTGGAGAAATTCAAGAATCTTTCTTTTGCACAGTCCAGCAAATATACAGGAAATGTCCTATTTTCTAATGTCCCACAACTGGTACACACATGGCTTGGAGAAATATAAAAATTATATTCATCACAAGCTTAAAGGAATGAAACGCATTATGCAAGACTTTAATTATTGTTGAACACCAACGCACTGTTAATAAAGGTAGTTTGTACTTGTGCCCTCAAGAGCTTGCTGTCTAAAAGATACTAACTGGGTAATGAAGAGGATGGAATAACTTCAGAGGTTTTAATACGTGTTTTATTGTTACTATTTTGACACTAAGTCCCTCCTAAAGGATCACTTTCAAATAAGACCTGTCTAAAAACAAACTTTCACTCTTTTGCTGAGTGTTCTAATCATGACTAGAGACCTACCTAAATCATGGTGGAAGTGTGCTGCTCTGATTGGCTGAGGGGGCCCTGGTGGCCTTGCTGATTGGCCAGGGGGCAAACACCACAGTTTTTGGCTCCCAAGGCCAATCAGCAGCAATCACTGGAGACCCTTGGCCAGTCAGTGGTGGGAGGCAAAAACCACAGCATATTTAAAACTGCAGGTTTTACCTCCTGGCTGATCAGCAGTGAGTGGCAGGGCTACGGGGGGCCTCTTGGACAGTCAGCACTGGGTGAGGGCACATAGCAAAAAGAGTGAAATCTAAAGGAGTCACTGTGCACTTCTGCAATTTAGGTAGGTTCCTATTAATGATATTGTTGGCTAATTACACATTCTTTTTGCATATCCTTTTGTCAGCATTAGAATTACTTACTTTCTAAAAAAACCCCCAAATTTTTAAACTAAAAATAATGAACTAAAACCAGTGTTAAGCTTGCTGTCTGTCTATATTTTGAATCAGAAGTATTAACTGATTTATATTCATCTGTGTATATAATTAATTACCTACATATAAATATCCAAAAGTGCAAAATACACCAAACAACAGGCAGCACTGCTAATCCATGCCTTTACAATCCATCTGCACTCAAAGTAAATTACTGCATATAAACTCTCAGATCAATTTTACACTTTTGATCTATAAGTTCTAAAGATACTAAGTAGTAGCTTAGTATTTTACTTAATACTGAGTGAAATTCAGTGCAAGCTGATTTTTTTTCCCCCTTCTTATTTTGCTTTTGAATGTTGTACAATGAGGAGGAGTTCTTGGCTCCTCATGGACTGTGGCACGTTTTCATGTGTCTTATTTTTGTGTGTTCTATAACAATACAATAAAGCTTTTAAATAACAACAAAAGAATCTGGCATATACGTGAGTGGGGTAGTATTAAAGCTTATATCAAAGGACTAGGTTTCTCTGATTTATTTTATTTTTTAAATAAATGGAATATCTTCTTAAATTTAACAGTGCAAATTCTTTGTCTTAGCAGTTTTTTCTAGTTTTAAAAACTTTTCTCAAAGCTCATAAATGACTGAATAGTTTTTGTTTGTACCTATGGTGAGAACCCTTCTATCAGTACTGCTTCTGAGAGCTGTGAAGTCTGTTGGTTTACAGCAGAGTATCCATCTGGCGTGTGACCTGTGAGCAGTTAATTCTGCCCAGCTGCCAGTCCTTCCCATTGCTCCTGCTGTTTCTGTGGTTGGGACCACCAGGTTCCTGCTCAGTCTTCTAGCTTATTCTTCCTACCTCTGCCCCTGGGGTTAGGGCCTTGGTGGCCTCCACATGCCAGAAGTTGGACAGCCTTGGTTTAGAACAACTGTGAAGCTTCAAATATAATTTTCAGAAGGCTAATAAATCCTACCACCACAGTCGGCAGGCAGTTACATAGCAGTGTGGTACTGAGGAGGCCACAGTAGGTCTGCCTGAAGAGGTCTGGCAGACCCTGAGTTTTGAAGAGGTTCAGAATGTTTCACATGGGACCAAGACCCTCAGTGGGAACTTCTGAGTCTTTGCATTACTCAGTTACTTTGTATTGAATAGATGAGGCTTGGAAGAGGAGTAGACAAACCTGATATGCCATCCTGGGGAATATAGGGGGACACTGTACAGTTTGTTCTGTTATATAGTGGTTTATCTTATACCTTCTTTTAAAAGTTTACACTGTAAATATACAATAAAATTACATTTGTGAGAGGCAAGCTAGTTCCCAGGGTTAACATTAATGTGAACTTTTTAAAAACTTCCTGCAGGCAACAATACAGCAGTAATTTTTAGGAAAGATTTGAATGAGACCGGTTAAGAAATAGGTTGTGGAAAGCTGTTCTTGTACTGGGGATACCTGGAAGCTGACAGAGGGAGATGATGAGAACAAAGGCAATATTTGACTGGCATCATGGTGGAATGAAGACTGAGGGAGAAACTCCAGAAGAATAAAGTATGACACAATTTGAAAACAAGGTCCATGATTTTTTAACTTCATATGGTGTGAATGGTTTTAAAGTGTAAGTGTGTGTGTGTGTGTGTGTGTGTGTGTGTGTGTGTGTGAGACAGAGAGTTAAAGCAGTAACAGTAATAGAGGGTGACTTTTTAGTACTGACTTTCTGATTCAGTGGGGGCCTGAAGAATGAGATGTTACTGTATTCCAAGTAGGACATAAATGAAGTGTGAACAAGCAATTTGGCTCTCAGAAGAGAGAGAGGCAAACCTTTGAAACATTCCTGAAGAACTTATATATTTGGTCACGGCTTGGATGGGGAAGAAGAAAGGGAGCTAGTCAAAAAAACACCTCTGGGGAAAATGGGTCGTTATTAATTATGGTACGTTGAGTGGAGATCTGACTGGAAAGATTAAATCAGTTTTGTCCATGTGGAGCTTACGTTCTGAATAGATCATTCAAGTTAAGGTATCAGTAAGGACTTGTCAACAGAACAAAAAGTTACACCTAATTGGAATAAAAGCCAGTTTATATAAACCATTGCTCCCTTCTGTGAAGATGTTCTTTCTTATTAACTTAAATTAGTTGTATATTGTGATATAAGAATCTATGCACAAAGGTTCACTAGGTTAAGTAAATGAGTTTAGAATTGCGTATTGGGGTTGACTGTTGCAACTTTGTGTGTACAAAGTGGATTTTTAACCAGGGTGCCACTGCTCCCAATTTTTGTGCTGCTATATGCCAACATGATTCACAACCTAATTCCAAAGTTTTCAACTAGGAATCCATAATGTCAAAAATATTCTGATCCGACGTGGTCTTTCTGAGTTCTTTGCAACAGAAGAATTGCTCTGTTAGTTTTCACTCCTTTTTTGATGAAGGAAAAATAAAAACGATCTAAAAGGTATAGATCCACATCTGAATGTGGTCAGGAATAAAATAAATACTAATACTGTTTATATTTGTGAACCTTTTAGTTATGATATGCTGAGAGTTAAGAGCAACAGGAAGTTTAAAATCTTGAATATAAGAAAAAGAGTGTTTAATTTGTTTATGGCTGTAACTGGTTTTGCCTAAATCTAGGTTTTTCTTTGCAGCAAGAGTTGT